AAGCGCATCTTGCAGCGTCTGTGGCACATGATCGAGACTGCGCCCGACCGCCCGCACGTCCTGCGCAAGGTGCGTCGTCATGGTCGTATAGCTCCTGCTTGCATGCGTGTATTGTATTAGGTGCTCGCGGTGCTGCACCACTGCGTCCTCCATGGCAGCGACGCGTTTCTCAACGCTGCGTTGGCAAAGAAGCCGCTGTTGCGCGACCTCGCGCTCCATTACAACCGGGACGAAAGCCAGCAGTACAAGTACAGCAAGGACTTGGACGCAGGCGCAGGCGTGCGCAAGCTTGCAGCCGGCCTCTTCGACGTCCTCCACTCGCCATCGGCACTGCACGACGCCCGGTCGGCCGCGTTGCAGCTGCAGAAGAAGCTCTCGGCCTCTGGCATTGGCCTCTTATCGCCGTCGGCATCGCCGCGCCCGAGCACGTACTTGGACAGTTCGCGGCCCGCGCCGTACACGGATGACCCGTCCCCGCCGTCGTGGGAGCTCGGCGGTCGAGGCCACGTTTGCCACGAATTCAACACGGACGCTGCCGACGCGCACTGATGACATTGTTTCAATCAAAGACCTAATGCACTTGCTTGGAGATGATGCTAGGCGCGACCAGCGTCTCGGTGACGGGCTCGGTCGCGAGGACTTGGAGCGCCGACCACGTCGCTGGCTCGGTCGCAAAGATGACGGTCACGCGCTTCCGAAACGCGACGAGCACCTGGCCAAACTCCATGTAGCCCTACGCAGCACGTGTATATCAGTCCAAGAGAGCGTGGTCGAGACAGCATACAGCGCCCATCTCGACAAAGAGGCGGTCGAGAATCGGAAAGAGGAGGCAAAACATGTCTTCAAACACCGTGTTGAGCACGTCGCCGGCGACGTCGTTCCATGTCTCGTACTGGCTCAGTGATGCATGAAGCGACGCGCGGCCGAGCGCGGTCGCCGACGCCGCGTCGCCCTTCTTCTCGACGTCGTTGGCGATGAAGGCGACGAAGGTCTTGGGCGCGCTCGAGACGCACCCGTCAAAGTGCGAGCCCGCGTCGCCAATGCCAAGAAACTCGACCAGCGTCGCGACCACGTTGATGCACGCGATCGCAAACGGGTAATTCTGGAGGTTGCCTTCGCTGACGCCGTGCCGGATGCGGTTCATAATGGACGTCGCGAGCTTCGTGTGGTGCCGCACAAAGTAAATGAGGCAGTGGAGCCCGAGGAGCCCGCTCGCGCGCAAGTCCGAGGGCGGCCCGCCACTACACATGCCCACGATTGCACGGTTGCCACCAAAAGATGGGATCATTATGTACCGTTGAAAGCCGATTTCTTGCCAACGCACGTCCGTGTTGGACACAAAGACGTCGGACGGGAAGACGTACGTCCAGAGCTGCTTGAGCATCGCGTCAATGAGCTTCTGATCTTTGGCCGGAGCGTTGCCTTCGGGCTTGACGCTGGCCTTCAAGAGCTTTCGCAGCTTCATGACGGTGCGCACGCACGTGCGTCGGATCTTCTCGCGCTTGTCCAATTCGGCGTCAATGATCTCGCGCGGTAGAATCGACGCGGCGACGATCGCAGAGTACCACGACTTGCACTCGAGCGCCGAGTCGCAGATCATGACGTGCCGGCCCAAGTAGAGCGTGTCAGTTGCGGCGTCCATCGAGACGCGGAGCTCTTTCAGCGGCAGCACAAACCACGGCCGGACCAGCGTCGCGTGCTCGGGAAAGAACGTCAAGAAGGCTTCGTGCAATTTGACGTGGAAGCGCCCTTTGAGCGTCGCGTTGTGGCTCGCCTGCTTGCGCTCCATACTCCCCGTCTTGAGCGTGAGCTGCGGGTACCGTTTCCGAAGCTGCTCTGGGTCAATGTCGCCATGCGTAATGTGCTGCAATAACGCGACCAGATCGTCGCGCGCCGCGGCCGTGTCCAAGTACAACGGCCAGTTGCGGTGCTTCTCCCACGATATTTCGAGGCCAAAGCCCCACTCCGAGTTCTCATGGAGGACGCGGATCGTCTTGAGCGCCGCAAATGGCAAGGTCGTGAGCGTCTCGCCACGCTTGGTGTTGACGATCGTTTGGTCGGCAAAGTTGAGCTCGAGCACGCGCGTCTGCACGTGGTTGCGGTTGCTGCACTTGCGCACGCCGTAGTGGATCAGGAACCCGTTGATGCCTGTCTTGTCCCAGAACGAGCGCAGGCCGCCGGCTATGTATGGCGTATAGCGTCCAACCAGCAACGCGAAAACGTACCATGGAACGCGTTGGTTTGCGAGTCGTTGATCGCGGCCTTGATCGCTGCGATCCACGCGGCCATCTCGACGTTGGAGATGGCTTGGACAAAATACTCGCGCTGCGCCAAGTCGACCGACGTGGCCACTTTAAACTCGAATTCGCGGTCCCGCGCCGTGCTTGCCTTGGTCTTGGGGACCACAGAGCACTGCGAGCTCGACGAGAGGCGGATCGTCTTGAGCGCGGTCTTGGCCTTGCCTGCGGGGGATTTCTAACCAGGCGAGAGACGCGTCAGCGATCCGATCGTGGAGATATAGGACAAGATACCTCCTTGGCGTACGTGAGGATCGGTCCGTCCGCGCTACAAGCTGCCTTGTCAAGAAACAGAAAAGAGCGTGGCACCTCGT